TACTTAGTAACCTTATGTGAAAATTCATCAATCTGATACTTTCCAGGTTATAGAGTAGCCAAAGATTAGAGAACAGACAGACATACCGATGGAAATAAGTGGCATGGTTGTCCGTGATGTAGATGTAGGTGTTGAGTCAAATCGCAGTTACAATTCTTCTTCACCAATTGGCGTGGGAAGTAAAAATCCAAGACTTCCCAGCCACCTCATAGTAACTATTTGTAATGAAATAAGTTAGCTGTGAAAGAGTTAAAGGCATTCGAATCCGTGCTTTTATTTAGTTCTAGGGCAAAAACGAGCCTCGCGAGTTGTTATCCAAGAAAAGTCAAAGTTTGTAGCGGAACTCATAAAACATGAAACAAATAAGTTTGTCGCAGCCCGCTCCAAAGTTTCCTTTTAGACGTTAAACGACCTGTATAATAGGCAATGTGCATGTAAGGAGCAGTGGAAGTGGAAAGTAAGGTTTAAGAGAAAAGAGTATCATGCTTTAGTCTAGTCAGGTTAGGAATTAAAAAACGGATTTTAGGTAGACCGATGGTACAGGGTGGCCCATAAATGCAATCAATTACGATCACGGCACTCATATAAACGACGTCTAAAATTGTCGATGACTGCGCCTCAAGACAACACTGTAATGCTTGCCATTTCTTTTCGGATATTTTCTTTCAGGACATCAACTGATCGCGGAGTGGTGTCGTACACTTTACTCTTGAGGTAGCCCCATAAAAAGAAGTCCATTGGGGTCAAATCTGGACTACGTGGTGGCCACGAAATGTCTTCTCTTCGAGAAATTACTTTGCTGGGAAAAAGTTGACAGACGACGGGCATAGAAGTTTTGGAGGTGTGGGCAGTTGCTCCGTCCTGTTGAAACCAGGTCTGCGTATTATAGCCTGGAAAATTCTGCAACGCTGGTGTCAAAAACTCTTCTATCATTGCTACATACCGCTCCGAAGTAACAGTTAATGCGCGACCTCTGTCGTCCTCAAAAAAATAAGGGCCTACGATGCCATGCGCTGACATAGCAGCCCAAACTGTAACTTTAGGGCTGTGTAAGGGCTTCTGATGCTTATGCCTTGTATTTTCGGGGCTCCAATAACGGCAATTTTGTTTATTTACATGCCCGTTTAAATGGAAGTGAGCCTCGACCGAGAACAACACATTATTGAGCGAAGAAAATCGATTCAACATTTCATTCGCCAAGTTTAGTCTCTGAATAGCGTCATTATCTTTTAATTCCTGCACTAACTGAATTTTGTAAGCGTGCAGACGTAAATCTTTCCTTAAAATCCGCTGTAAAGATGTTATGGGTACGTTTAGTGCACTGGAACGCTTACGAGTAGACTGGGTAGGATTTTGACCAACAGACTGTGCCACAATGTTGATGTTTTCTTCAATACGAGTTGTCCTTGGTCGACCCCACCGCTGTTTATCTAACGTCGAACCAGTCTCTTCGAACTTAGCAACCCAGTTCTTAATCGTTTGAGCTGTTGGACACTTTGTAAAATTGTGTAAATTGTGGTATTCTCGATATTTACGCCGCGCAATGGTTGCCGAATCATTATTTTGATAAAACGCGCACACACAAAAAGCACGATCCGCTCCAGTGAAACACTCCATGGCGACTGAATTCCCAGACACTGAAGATACTGCCCCCACCTCGCCCGCGCCGCTCACGCTCACCCGTTAAATTTTATTCAAATTTGAAATTTCAAAGGACTTATGGACCACCCTGTACTTCTAACTCAGTACTACACGCAATATCCAAATTATATATACACAACACATGTTTGCTATCAGCTTCTGTCTCAAGGCTTTCATCAAGCATCTATTTGTAGTGTTCGCTTTGTCGCTAGTGTGAAAAAGTTTTCTGCATTTCGCACTCCACACCACATCCATATATGACAAAGCTACGGTTTTGTTTCCTCCCCCAGCCCTTTCCTTCTTTCTATTTTGCCCATTATATGTAACCTTGATACTTCTTATTATTGTCCCTCAGTTATATGTATGTCTGAAGCAAGAGTTTTTTTCGTTGTTTTAGGGTCTGTATTAGCTCTTCTCAACACTTCCTCGTTGGTTACATGATCAACCCATGAGATAAGCAGCTTACGAATGTTCCAGATTTTGAATGATCCTAATTTGAGTGACTACGCTTTAGCCCCCGTATATTATTATTAAAAAGTAGTTATATTACGAAAAGTCAGGGCGATTAAGCTGGGAGAAATAAGAGATAACCAAGGGCATGGCGTCCAAAAACAGCTGATGGGGTTTCAGCATGTGCTTTTCACATTTTTATCAGACGTAGTGAAAGTTTTTATTCAAATTCACTTTTGTTTGGACATTTATTCATGGTAAGGATATTAATTATAAATTTGCGGCAAGCTTTGGTGGTGGTACCACGCCAATCGACTGATCCTTGTCTACCAACTCCTATTTGCTTGTTAATTAGACATGAAGTGGTCCAATTGCGGACTTGTACCGCCACCCGGCAATCGGTATTGAGGTATTCCTCAACCCGAGTACAATCATTTGAACACGAAGAAGTACAACTTCCGGAAAAAGCGTTTGCCACGTACACGTTTCACATGCTCAGAGTAATTTGAACACACTAAATTTTAGTATTTGTTTTGTTACAGCAGTGAAAAGTTTTTACTTAATGATATGTGATTTTCTCCCTAAACAAAAGTTTTCGCACAGTGACAGCTTGAAATGTTATAACGCGCTCAGTTTGTACTTCATTTCGGAGCTCTAATAGCTCCTTTTATTTTTCCTCAGTATGAATACATTCTAGTCTGCCGACAGGAGTGGCAGGCGGGTACAGTTCTAGCTCCGGAGCATCTGCAGGAATTTATAGTAGTTTTAATTGGAAAGGCGCACGTTCATTCCTCCAGTAATTGTCTTTTCAATACTGCATTTTCTCGGAATCCTATCCCACTACATTAGCCGTTGCATTGCGAGTCGTATTTCGCCCTTAAATATATTAAAACCGGTTACCGCCGCCAGAGGTATTTCTTCTACCATAATGTGCCCGATCTTACCCGGAATTGCGTTTGAGAAAAATTTCTGGGCTAATAGCTGTCGTCTAGATAGTCCAAATAGTCGCTTTGCTAACTGAATTGCTTCGAGTTTGGCCATTAATTCAATGGGGAAGCAAAATCGTATACCGTGGGGAGACCAACCTCTTTTGGTCGTAACATTCGATGAATTTTTGCCAAAATAACGTAAGTAACATTTTTGGTGAAAATCATGTGAAAATCATTATTTTTCCATATTTAATTTCGTTCATTTATTACAAATGATTGTGTGATAACCTCAAAGTCTGTGAGAAATTTGCAGGAATTAATCGGTTGAAGTTAAAAAAACCTTTTTTGTAGTTAGAATTTAAAAATATTAAATCTTAACTAATATTATGTACCTACCTATAAAACTCCCATTTCATATTTGATTTCGTTTATTTATTAGAAGTTATTCTGTCATAACCTCGAAGCCTGTGAGAAATTTACAGGAATGAATCGGTTGAAGTTAGAGAAAGACTGTTGTATTTGTTTCTATTCTAATTTTTATAGAAGCTATGAAACATTGTAAACATAAATGCTCGGTTACTTTCAGATTATGTCTGTGGTCAGTTCACGAACAAAAAGGATTTTGGCGGCTCTTAGCCAAAATGATGAATCGAATAATGTTTATTCTGACGAAGAAGCCGATATCCATTATTTCAAGTGACAATATTTTTGATCTAGATAATTCCGAAAATATTTTAAAAACTACTTTAGTAAATGAAGACGTAATCGAAATAGATCAATCAATTTTAATGTCTTCTAACAATTCGAGTCCTTATGAAAATGATGGTAACCATACTATGCAAGAAGAAATAAATGTACCAATAAGTACTGACAACTCAAATGGGATAGTTGGTGTTCAATTTGAACAGGATTGCGATGTACAAGAATATTTTCAGCCGTTAGTTGATTATGTTAACAATAACGATTTAGAGTTGAACCCTGAAACAAAAACCTCTAAGAAAAGATAAAGAATTTCAAGAAAACAGTACGTCGAAAGAGGCATACGACAAACATTTAAAAGAAAAGGAAGAAAGTAAAGAACTCTCTTTAGAAGATCAAAAGAAAGTCAAAGAAGTCTCAGATACAGATTGTTCCAGTTTTGATTTACAGAAAGTCTTGAATACTCCCCATGGGGATAACATTTTATTATACTACTCTAGAAAATATTCATTTTAGAACGAAAGCATAAATATACGAAACGCCATCGCAAAATGGATACTGCTTTCTGTGGGATGAATCCGATGGTAATCGTAGGTGTAACGAAATGTGCACTTGTAGTTAAGACAAATCATATTTTTCATTCAATATTACTTAGTACTGATATGGTTTTTGTTTTTTTTTAACAAAGAAACGGTTGATTTTTCCAAAAGTTTGGAACAGTACTTTTTTTTCTAAATAAGGTGAGCAATAATAACGAATTATTAAGATTATAAAAAATGCATTCGCGAAAGAATTAGGCTATTTTACTTTTCAACGTATTAAGTAACTACGCCACTGGTTAGATAATTAAGATTTTTTTCTTCTCATAATGGGTACCACCGGAATAAGAGAAACGACAAAGTTTAAAAATTTTCGAAAACATTTTGTCTGAATTATAAGAAAAAAACTGGTTTTTTAACGTATTTTCAACACAATGTATCTCGGAAATGAAACATTTCCGGACCCATGTTTATCGAAAATTTTTCATCTACATATTTTTTAATGTTCTAATTTAGTGACACCCTGTATAGGGAATTCCCGTGTTATTAAGACTTTATTGAATACAGAAAACTGTTAATGAACTACAAATATAAAAAGTGAATACATATTTGCAAGTTGTCCTGAAGAATTTCCTTGTTTAAGGTCGAAATCGGCAAGAAAAGGCATTTTCTGAACCTGAAAAAATTTATAAACAATTGCTTCCAATATCCGAAATGAAGAAAAGGGATTTGGAAAACTTTGCAAAAACAATGTCATACCTGCCAGGTTTCACGATGAATTCTTTAAATTAAAATGTAAGTCTTCTCTTCCAGATGAGTTAGCAGAAACTGATGCAGAGGATGACAATGACGATGAAAGCTCCAAAACTTATAAATATATTTTTTACTAGTAAGAATTTCATATTTTCTTTTGTAACGTTATTTTGTGTTTTTTTTTTTAATAATAAACGATAGTTTTTAATTCTTTCCAAAATTAAGTGCTACAATTTGCCGCCAAACTGACGTATCTGTGTACTTACGTTACATTTTTGATCAAGACTTCGAGATTTTTGAACCCGTAAAGTAACGTAAGTATCAATTAACCACTAAAACTATAGAAAACCTTCAAAAATCATTTTTCTTAATTAAATATAGACCTCAGAGAAACACCCTGGTAAATTTTGCACAATTTAAAAAAGTTTAACCAGGTTAAATTAAAAACACGTTTTTTCTCCGAAATCGTTTTTGGTGACTTACGTTACTTTCGCAAATACGTATCGATCATATCCGTTATAACTGATAGAATTTGCTTGTCTCTTGCTGTATACACAGAAGAAGAAGAAATAAATTAGATGATTGAGCAATTCTTATACGCCGTCCTGTAGAAGATTAAACTCTTTTTATTTTCAAATCCCATGTAAAATATGGCACGGACAAGACAAAAACTATCTTGGAAAAATTTGGTTTATTTCGGAAGTACTGGGAATTGCGAGACTTTCCATTCCAGGTTCCATTTTATTAGTAACCTAAATGACGAACTTTGTCTCCATGTAACCGATTCCGTGTTTCTTACCGTTTCCAAGATCTCAATGGTGAGAACCGGGATTGAAACACCCGGAATAGTCCTGAATGTCGATATGTTGAAAGTACTACATGGTCAAAATTACTTATATCACTATCTCTCAATTTCCATAATATCCATCTAGTATCTGCCGAAAATACCAAAATATCTCGCTGTAATTAAAATCTCGCTTTTCCTCCTTGATATTCTTTTAGTTGCCATATGGTGAAAGGTATCATGCTCACAGAAACTCGAGCTGAATTGTAGTTCAAAAACACCTGTACGGTAGGAAGGAGAAAAGAAAGCCATGTTTTCAATGTGGCCCTTGAAACTTCTCGGTTTAGAATTTTAGCCCGGCAAAGCCGGGCATCGCGATGAAAGATTCAAAATTTATACACCGAAAAGTTTAATAGGATTTTAAGACGGAAGTTTCATAAAAATGGTACAGGTTTTTAGGCAATTTCGACCCCGCGACGAGTTTTTATGGTTTGAATATGGTAATTCGCGTAATGCACCTTAATAACCTAATAAAAGGAAATATCGTGAAGATTTTAGAGTTTTTTCAAGTAATGGTAATTTTACGTCATACGCTTCAGGTCAAAGGAAAGTAGTCTGTATTAAGAAATAAGTGTCAGAGAGACGACCTGCAAAATTAAGCAAAGATTATACTTTTTGTTTAAGGGGGAAGTTTACGAGTGTTACACAGTCGGAGGTTAAGGTTTTTACTGGGCGGACGCATAGGATATGCAAATATAATCAAAGTCAAGTTAGTGGTATCCTCTTGGGCAAATATGGATAGAAACAGCACAAAGTGATGCTTAAATTGACCGAAATGGCAATGTCAACAGTGAACCAGCTGATTATAAGGGGTTTTGTTCACTTTTATAAATATCAGTTCTGTTTGCGATTTCTAGGGTCTGACTTAAAAACAGATGTAATAAGTTTAGGACGTGTGTCTATCTATGGCTTGGTAGTTCTCCAATGCATAAACCGATTTGGGTGCGGTTCTTTTCGATAAAAATCCTGCCTTTAGAACCGGCTCTTATCTATGCTTAACGGAAGTCGGTTCAGCTGGTTGAAGGTTATGGGGGACTAACTCGAAGGTGAGCAGCCCATAGTACGAGAATATGTTTAAATGGAGCATCAGGCGAAAGGACTCAAATTGTAGATCACTTAATCGGCCATTCAATGAAAATCTGATGAGTGGTTTGAAAGTTATAATCGGCGAGTAGATGTGAGGCACTGCGTAAATGTTTTGTATATGATGCGTTACTCCTAATTTGTCTGTGATGTGGCTTAGTTATACAGGGTGCTTCACTTTATTGTTGCAAAACTTTAAGATTCGATAGAACTTTTGAAATTAATGCATAAAGTCTATGCTTCCTATATAGCGTGGCTTCCCAAATACAGGGTGTTTAAATTTACTTTCTAAAATGGTTCTTTTTGCAATTGTGAATGCACGAAATTTAGTTTCTTTTACCTGTTTTTTATAAAAATGCCATTTTTATTCTCCAATCAAGAGTTAGCGGATATTCATTTTGTGTACGGCTTTGTAAATGGAAACGTAGCAGAAGCAGCCAGAGAATACACACGAAGATTTCCAAACAGACGACATCCAACTCGCTCAGTATTTGTAAGAGTGCATCGCCAAATAATTGAAAATGGAAATCTCCAAAGGGATCAAAACATAAATGTTCGTCAGCGCAGATTTACCCGTATGATTCTGCGTGAGTTTGATAGAGATCCGACCACAAGTGTTAGGAGAGTTTCTGGTGCCTTGGGAATATCAGCAAGCCATGCTCACCGTGTTCTTAGAAATGACCATAGACGTCCTTACCATTTGCAACCTGTGCAAGGACTACAGCCAGGGGACGGAGAACGAAGAATCACATTTTATCAGTGGATTCTTGATAGAACTGATAATAATAGGGAGTTTTTAAGTAACGTTTTATGGACCGATTTCTTTGTGTGGGGATTTCTAAAAGAAAAAAAGTACCAGACTCCGTAACCACAAGAGATATGCTAATAGACAGAATCAGGAATGCATGTGATGAAATAAGGCCTTATTTGAATAATGCTATACCACGTTCGATCATTCGTAGATGTGAATTGTGTATTGAACAATATTGGGTTTACATTTCGAGCAACTACTTTAGATTTTGTATGTTTGTCCTAACTGTCCAATAGCATTTTAGTTGTAAATAATTAATTTAATTTGTTAAAAATAATATTGGAAAATTAAACAAATTAATATTCTGTTTTTTTCTGTTTATTTGGAGTTAGGAATTATTGCTGTGTTTGAAAACACAATCTAAAGGATCATCTTAATTTCCCATAAATAATTAAAAATGCATCGAACCTTAAAAATCAAAATATCTCAAAAACGGCTAACTATAACGAAAACTCACAGGAGAGCTTTTTTATGTTGAAAAGTGCGGAGAATAAGTTTTTTTTATCCAAAAAGCAAAGAATTGCACTAAGAAAAAATTTTCGGTCATTTTAATACACTACAGGTTGTACCTACTGTAGTAGAGAGCGCCCTCTAGCGGCTACAGTAAAACTATGCCCATGGTTCGTTTTGTCGTACCAAAAAACCTTTGTATACCAATGTTCACTGTTATACATAAAATACATAAAAAAAACTATTTTAGAAAGTAAATTTAAACACCCTGTATTTCGGAAGCCACGCATTTTTCGACCCACGTTTATATAGACTTTATGCATTAATTTTAAAAGTTCTATCGAATCTTAAAGTTATGCAACAATAAACTGATACACCCTGTATATAACGCGGGCGCATAATGCTTCTCGAAGTTTCTGAAAACGCAAAAAACTGGGAAAACATATAATTTATAACTTTGGACCTCTCTTCAGAAAGAACAACACACATAACCAGTCTGGTACAGCTAATAGATATGCTTCACAGGCAGCATATTCTGTAATAATTTTCTCACATAGCAAACTTGATGCATATGCATACACAATCACCATACAATCATACAGCTCAGATATTCCTGCTCAATCAGTTTTTTCCTGCCACATCTTCTCAGAGATATACTCTGCGACTTGCAGCATGGTCATTGAGCGCGTCATGTCGTTGAGTCATCCATCATCCTCCATAGATGACGCTTTTCGTGATGCTCGCAGCGCTCATAGCGAGCAAACGCGGAATGCACCATTTGCACACTAGGAACCGTCTAATCTGCAAGTTGGCATTTTGTCGTTTTTTCTTACGTAACAACCGTGCCAATTTGGGTGCGGTTTTTTAATCGGCAATCTTCATGTCTGATGAAAATCGGTTCATCAGTTCAAAAGTTGTACCCAAAGTAAGCAAATATGCCTGAGTAGGCTATCAGACGCACATTGCCGATTACTTAATCTGCCTTTCACTGAAAATCTGTCATGATGCAAAACTTATACCCATTTGCTATTCAAATTTTAATCCCCGGACGCAAAAGCTGCCAAACGAAGGGATCGATTTGGCTTTTTAATAGAAAGTCTTGTCTGTCGATTTTATCTGTATCAAAGTAGATATCTATTGGTGCTAAGAAAAACTATCAACAGAAAAACTAACTTATTCTAATGTGTCCAGCAAATTACTTGTGCAGAGATTCTTTAGGTTTAGTTACCTACTTGGCGATGCTATTCAGGCTGGCTGCAGGATACCGATTGTTTCTTTCAACTAATACCTGTTAATAAACCCACTAGTATTTTGCATATCTACTTCGCTCAACGACCGCTCTAAAACCAACTATAGTCTGTCACTCACAGATAATACACTGTCAATCTCCCTATCCATCCCATTAAATTATTTCACTGCCTGCATCCACAAACTTACTGACAGCCACATTTATATCCGACGCTCGTGTTCAGAATCATTCCCCTGCTCCCCAAATCGCTCTCTGCAGTACATCTCACGCATACATGTCAATATTTCGCCTCCGATGCAACCTGACCGAAAGCTGACATCAGAAGCGAGATATGTTTCCGCGCCTGCCTCTCGGCTTCTTGACAGCGCCTGCCCTTGTTCTTCGGCCTTAGCCCCTATTTACACAGCAAACGTGATACTCGTGACACTTTCTTGCCGCTTCGTGATGGGGAGAACTCAAGTCAACCAGCTGCGGGTTAGTGAATACACCTCCTTTTCGCAATAGATATTTATGTATATAGGGTGCAGAGATGACAGTTATGCCTTGTGAGACTACCCTGATGCCACCGAAATGACCTTCGATCTGGCTAAATACTCCAGTAACTTGCAAATTGGGGCCAAATTCCATGATCTTTCCATCTTTTCCGCCACCGGTGATCACATTTCCATCTTTAAGTACACATATGGAAAAGACTGGACCTTCATGTACGTTTTTTATGAGTTTCCATATTGTATTCGTACCTCGTCCCCATACAGCTAAGTTGCCATTTGAATCACCTGTAATCGTTTCCCCAGTCTGTAAGAACGCCACACAAGTGACGTATTTAGGTTTATCACGAGTTTCGAAAATACCCAATGACAAATTAGATCCCAAGGCGCGAGGGTCGCGGGTTCTAGGTGTCCAGTGTTATCAACGCTTGTTACGTTCAAGATACGTACAACATTTCAGCTACCTTCGTCCGGTTAAAACAAGCAAATTATGGTAGTTCCTAAGTAGAACTAAAAATAAAAATAAATTCACTGTACTGGTGGACACACCTTGCTGGCTAAGCGCCTTTGTATTCTGAGCCGCGTAATGCCTTCTCCATCGAGATATGAGCAGATTTTTTTCACTATTAATTATGATGTATTACCACATAATTCGATTATGCTTCAAATATAGTATACCTGATAGCTTTCTTAAAATCCGTCAAGACTGACAAATGGATCCAATACAATGACTGGGGGTTGCATGGAAGCACAACTATGTTGAATGCCGCCTCCCGCATCAAATGAGTTTCTTTTTCTTTGTTGTTCTTTTATTACAATATCCGTAGAAAGGTGACGCTGCCGCTACATACATTTTTCTCTAGCCGAATCAAACCGCACATGTTTAGAATTCGTATCCATTTTACAAGGTTTCCGTACCAGCGTTTGTTTTTTCCTTTTACTTTTTTCATTCATTCTTACATTGCTATAATAGCATATGATAATAGTCTGAAAGATCCTGTAACACGCTGGGAGTGCTGAATATTCCAAGCGCAAGACCGGTAAAACTAGCAAATCCCATGATCAAATGTCTGTCGTTTTTAATGTAGATACTAGACACGTTACCCTCAATCATCGTCCCAAACCCTGGAATGGTAGCTGCAAACTCTTGTAAATGAAAGAAAAAACAAACAATAAATTAAATATATTGTACCAAAAATTGCTAAATGTACTGTAAGAATTTTACCGTTGGGACCAATATGTTGTACAATAAAGACATATTTTAAATATATATGGTTTGTTTCGGTCAGACAGACATGGAGGATTAGCAACATGAAAATATAAAAACCAAGGGGTGAGTTTCAAATGTTACATTAAAGGTACGTGTGCCGTTACATCATTCGTTTCCCACTTATTTCAAATAATCCACCTTGTTCTGTACCGAACAATTCAAAGAAGTTGCACGCATTCCTAATTTACCTAGGGTTCTTTCATTACCATTATTTATTTAGGGGAAAGAATGTAATTTCTCCTTAGAATAATGCGCTTAACTATGGCGAGTTATCAGGCTAGTAGTATTATTTTTAAGTCCGAAGAGTGCATCTGAACAAAAAACAATCTTTGAAAAACGGTGTTTAACCAGAATCAGTCTAATTTCAAACGCTAATAGTGACTTTTCGCAAAAACCGGTGCAGTACCATTTTTTAGAGAAACTGGCCGACACGAAAAAAAAATCAAAATTTGCTCGAACATCGTTAATTGATGTTTCAGAGGATCCTCATAATTTCTGGATTTTTTTAGGGGTAAAATATTTTACATCGCAGTAATTCTGCGCGCCTATTGTGCATATTTTTGAAACATATATTACGCCGTATATTTAGAATAGTATAAATGTTTTGCATGTAAAGTGTGTTAGCCTCCAGGACTTCTTAGGTGGATATCCACTCGACAAATTTTTTACCTAAGCAACTGAGAACAGGCCAACGATGCCGCGGGAAAATAACAATTACGTCTTCAAAGGCAATATAATTTATTGAGTATAAGTAATCAGAAAGAAAGTTGTCTTGGATTGTTTAAAGAAAATAAACTTGCAATACACCCTTCATAGTGCAGTGTCAACCCACTTGACGCCATATCTTTTGTTCTTACAAAACTCCATAAAGATGATCTTTGTTTCTATGACCTATTCACTCCCTGTAAGCTGAGGAGCGGTAAAGGTAAACATTTAATTGTAAGGTTCAAATTGTTATCCCGTAATATCTATTAAAAAATGTTCTACCTCTCTCTCCACTTTCATCCGGGTCAAAGTCCGTACGACGTAAATTAAATTGCTCTGTTTTTTTTTTTGCAGTTTTGACGTGCGTGGCAAGCCCCTCTCGCAGGCTCGCCACTGGTCAGCACCGGAAGTGTTCGGCTCCCGCGCCTACTTCCGGACCGTATCTGAGCCTGCGCAGTTGGTGGTGGACGATGTGCGCAGACACGACGAGGGGATCTACAGGTGCAGAGTGGACTTTCGCAATGCGCAGACTAGGAGTTTCAGATACAATCTCACCGTTATAGGTAAGTCTTGATCATGTGTTGTATACACCTTTAAACTTATATGCACATCAAGTGAGTCAGGCCCTATTGGCGACCCTAAAATGTGCTATTTCGAAAACCTTGCAAATTTTAATGAAAATTGTCAGTGTTACTAACTGAAAAAATCAACTTATCTGGAATACTTTCAATGATACTCGCTGTTTTGGCTGAAATGTGGATATTATCATTTTGGTTTATTATTTAGAAATGATGGATTTTTCGGCAAATTGTTTTTGAAGTATATAAATAGATGTTTCTGAATCTAGTTGTTGCAACTGGTTAATTAATTTTCTGTCAAAACCTTGTTTTCGGTTGTTAATAAAATCAATTTATCAACAGATATTTCGCGAATAGCAAAAAATTCCAGTATACTACTGTTTATATTTGAAAGCTTCTGATGAATTGTTACTGAAAAAAAAAAGCAATGGTTGATCAGAGAATTCAGGACGGGAAGTTTTGAAACAGAACATGCTTGCCATAATGAACAATACAAGAACCGCATAGATATGCTAAGATAAAACGGTTGCCTTAAATAATTGTTTTTAAATCACACGCCTGCTGGCGGGGAATTATTTTGGTGAAATTTTTTCACAATATTACTCCTATGCTAAGGATGCAAAAGCTTTGCTGTTTTTGAAAATAGGTCTAGTAGCGGCAGGTCAAAAACAGAGGAGAATAAAAACAGCTCAAACTTCGTTTTTGGGCGTTGCAAACGATCTTGATCATATTTTAAAAAATGCAGAGGTGCAAAAACTTGAGGGTTGAAGATTGTAGGGGACGGGAAGGGAAATTTTTTGATGTCAGTACATTTACACACCTCCAACCTTTAATATACAGAGTGTTCCTTAATGATATGCGAATATTTAGGGGTGTGAATCTACATGAAAAATTGATGTTAATTTGCTGTATAAACTATGGTCCATAAATGTTTCCTTACAGAAACTCGAGGTGTTGAAGTTTTATGAAAAAATGGAAATTATTTAATATTTTCAGAACCGCTTCAGATATTTCACTGATATATAGTACGTAGTGAAAGTTAATAAAGCTGCATATTTTTCAATGCAAAAATAATTTTTAGCTGTAACAGTGGCGTGCGTACGGGTATTGACTTCGATATTTAAGAAAAATGTTAAGCCAAATAAAAATTATTTTTCAATTGCCCGTTCAATTTAAAACAAATAATCTCAAAATTGTTTTTCTTCCATGCGCCATTTTCTGAGTAAAAAAATAAAAACCGTTCTATTGTCCGAGAAAACTGATGTAATAATTGAAGAATGCAATTTAGCAATAAATATCTAGTTGCTCTAGAATATGTCACTGGCTTTTCACATCTGAGAAGTCTCTGTATATTCAAATCTGTTCGCTGTGACATCTTTTTCATTATTTAGTTTTTACAATCTTGTTAGTAATGGTAAATTATTCAAATGCAGAAATGGCGGAAATGCATTACGTATATGGCCTTGCCGAGGGTAATCGTGAGCAAGCCAGACGGCTTTATCACCAGAGATATCCCGATCGTGCTTTGCCAGATAGTCGAACCTTTTCTAATATTCATCATTGTCTTGTTGAAACTGGTTATGTCCCAAAAAGGAACATCTGAAGGTAGGCCTCTAAGTGTGAGAACACCTGAAATTGAGGAAGCAGTGCTGCACGAAGTCGAAGAACATCCTGAAACGAGTACGAGGAAGATCGCTAAACAATCAAATATTTGCTATCAAATTGTTTGGAGAATTTTCGTGGATTTTTTGTGATATCCTTACCATATTTCAAGAGTACAGGCATTACTTCCCATTGATTTTCCAAGGCGTGTGACCTTTTGTAAGTGGAATCTTCAAAAAATTACACAAAGTGTGATTCTGTTCATGGACGAAGCTGATTTTTCTCGAAATGCCATTTAGGATTTCCACAATAATCACTTGTGGGCATCCCTATGCCGTAACCGATACCCATTTCCAATACCAATTTTCGGTTAACGTATTGGCAGGAATTATTGGCAACCACTTCATTGGCCCATTTTTCTTGCTTGGCTTGGCGGACAAACTTACCTCAATTTTCTTCAACAACAGTTGCCTTTGTTGCTTGATAATGTTCCATTAGTAATAAGAAACGATATGTGGTACATGCATGATGGTGCACCAGCGCACTTTAGTGAAGCGGCTTGTAGTTATTTACTGTTTATCCAAATCGTTAGCCTGGCCGCGGTCACCGAATGGCCACCAAAAGTTTAGATTTCTTTTTGTGGGGCTATCTTAAGACACTAATGTACACAAGTCCCATTAACACTGTAGAGGAATTAAGCGAAAGAATAGTTGCAGCTTGTGACAGCATAAAAACCACTCCAGGGATATTTCAACGAGTGCGCAGTTCCATGAGAAGGAGGGCGGAAGCATGCATATTAAGTGAAGGGGGTCATTTTCAACAATTTTTGTAATCATTTCGTTGGTTTTAATGTTATGTTCATGTTGTCAGTTGTTGTTTTTCATTACCCCTAATGTTTTCAATTTTTCCAATTAAATTAATAATCATTTTGCAAGTTAGATAATAGAACAGTTTATTTTTTTACTCAAAAATGGCGCATCGAAAGAAAACAATTCAAGAGAGATCATTTGTTTTAATTATATCGGGGAATTCAAAAATAATTTTTATTTGGCAAAAAACCATTGGCATTCTATTTTTTTCTTAAAAAATATCGTTGTCAATACCCGTACGCACGCTACTGTTAAAACTAAAAATTATTTTTGCATTGAATAATATGCAATTTTTGGACCATAGTTTATAAAGCAAACTAACATTAGATTTTCATGTAGATTCACACCCTTAAATAATCGCATATCGTTAAGGAACACCCTTCTCATCAGACAGATCGCGATCCTACTGACACCGGCTGCTGCTTCCGCGGCATGTCACCGGCCTTGGTAAAGTATTCTTCTGTTCTGGTATGAAATTACACGTACAGCTAGAGCTTCCTTTCTAACTGCGCTGCCACGTCACGGTTAAGTATCGGGGAGAGGCGACATTTCCAGGTGCACTACCGGTCGGGCAGAGAAAAAACACAGAAGGTCTATGGACTAATTGTATATGCCTGTTTGTCTGACTCTTTCTAGAGGGACTAGTTTATGCTGAACATAATCCTTTATGACCTGATAACGCCATTGCGTGGAAAGTGCAAAGTCAACATATTCGACTCCGATTTTTTAAACTTTTAACTAGTTATCCAGTTTTAAAATTACTCTACCTGTACCCACTTAAACATTAAAATAGTAGTATTTTCAACTATTCCGTGATCAAAAGCCTCTAGCGCATGGAGTACTGCATTTCCCTAACTTCTCATCTTCCGCCTTCTCATAGCTTGTAACATAACCAGCTATTGAAATGTATCATATCAAAAATGGCCTATGCTACTTTGGTCTATAAGTTAGCCATCATTTGTTTTTTGTGACTTATCTTTTCATGCGCCCAATTTACCGTCAGCAAGCAACAGACTATTTGCGAACAATTAGGGTTTTTCGAGGAGCAAAACAGCAACTAGTGCTGGTCAGACATGGGGCGTTAATGATACAAACTTGTAGCAGAGCCGAGCTTGAACCGCTTTTTGCGGCCATTCTGCTAACACATTAATGGCGAACACAACAGCAGAGAGTAGCGTCTGCAACTTTGGAGCGCTATCCATTTTTGATACACACGTTAATATTGTAGGAGGATTATCTGTGGTATACCATAAGTGTACCGTATGAAGTTGTGATGCGCTCGTGTATTCTGAGCATGTTTTGATACAACGGAATACACAGCTAAGGACGAAATACGAGGATAAAATGATAAATTCTCGGCCTGATACCGATATGGCGCTCCAATAAGAGAAAGGTTTTGTTTACATGAACAATTTCAAATTGTTGTTGTTGTAATTTGTCAACACGGATTTTTGGGTGGTTTTTATTAAGATGGATGAACTTGAATATCGTACTGCCATCAAGTTATTTGTGTTGAATCCCTAACAAAATTCTTCCGAAGTTAACAAAAGCTTGCGAACACCTAAAACCAGCTCAAATGTCTACAAAATGGTGGTGGACGATAGTTATGTGAATGAAAGGCAGCTGAGATCAAAGTAATATCGTTATAGAGGGACATTCGCAGCCGTATTTCGACTAATTAAATAGAAATGTAACCAATTTAAAGTCACAATTCATTACATGGGTCCACCACTAAATACCAAAAACAAATCAGCAGTCGAAGCAGTGGGTGGAAGCCATTGCTTCATGTCCAGTGTGTTTTTGGATGTAGAGTAAATTAAACAAATTATCTTGAAAAAAGTCACACTAAAGTCAACCTATATGTAAATGATCGTTTTAACCTACACACATGGTAAAATTATCGGGTTCGCAGATGATACGGCTGGTTTTTATAGCGAAAAATCTTGGGATATCTTAAAGACTCTTATTGAAGAGGATTTCAGAGTCATTATAAGCTTGTTCAATAATAAAATATTAACAATCAATTATGAAAAAACTTTATATCTGACTTTTTCATGTGATGATAGGAACAGTCCCACATTCACTAACATACACATCAAATTACCACCCATAGATGAAGTAGTGGTCCTAAAGCCAGCAAATCATATAAAATACCTAGGAATCATAATAGACAGCCACCTAAAATGGGACAAACAAATAGAAAGCTTAACTAAGAGATTAAGATGTCTTATACCAAAATTTAAATTTTTTAGGGAAATTCTTTCTGATAAAGACTTATGCACCATATACAAAACGTTAATACAACCGTTGTTAACTTATGGAATTTTGGCATGGGAACCGGTCTTGAATAAATACTACAGGAAACTAGAAATAACTCAGAAATGGATTCTTAAAATCATGTTCCGCAAAACTAACACCTATCCAACCGATATGATATACGTATAAGGTATCCAAGATATGTGATTGTAGGCATTTTGAGAGTGTGTTCACATATATTACAAAACATAAGCATTTATTAAATTTCCTCCCACATGACCATCACATCAGATCCAAAGATCATTCAGTACGCACACCAAAGTCTAAAAAGACCATAGGTCAGAGAAGTGTCACTTTCCTAGGACCAAAAATATATAACTTAATCCCCCCTCAGATAAAAGATATTAAAAATACAAAGGTTATGAAAAAGCATCTACGACTGTGGATTTTGGACCAGCATAGGCTCAAGATTCATCAAGCGATTGATATCAAAAATATCTACTACTACTGAAAGCGGAAATCTCTCTAGATATTTGAAAGTTCAAAATGAAAAAAAAAATGTATAAATCAAACTGATTTGAATTCTTACCCCCTGAATTATTGCATTTTATGACTTATTTTTACCAATTTTTGTTCTTGTCTATTCACCTAATATTGCCTTTTGTTTCAATATTGTCTCTATCCCGATTGCGTCTACGTCCCGATTTTGCGTCTCCGTCCCGATTGTGTCTTTTTAAAAATGTTACCAGGACTTGTCTAATGAATTTTATATACATATATATTTTATGTTTTTTTTTTTGGTCTTAAGTTATTCATACATGAGCCATGCCCAAGCACAAGTTTCTGCGAAACTTTTTTGGGTACATTCGTTTATTGTATAATATTGTCTTTCATCTACTACTGCTATACTTTTTCTTTTGCAATAAACTTCATTATTATTATTATTAGATAACAAAAAAATGCAAAACCCTCTAGAAGTGCTGTAATTTTGGGCATACTTTCACGGGTTTTAGGTCTTCTAATAAATAGAAAGTGATTAACATTTTAGCTGGAAATTTCGTAAGATATCTGAGATGGGACATCTGTGAAATTAGCGCGTGTGTGAACTCTAGGCATGATAACGCAATGAAATAGCAATGAAACCAGTGGAACAACACACAAAAACCACTGAATATAAATTAAACATGTTCACATTGTTCGCATCCTGATATGACAAGAAAAAGCCTTTACAAAAAAAGAACGGCTTGGACTACTTTCAACATTTTATCAGCGTCTATTTTCGTGATAGCAAATACGTTTTCAAGATTCTATTAAAATTCAATAAATAATTCTGGGTGTTGCATTTTATATGTCACTCAGGCTCAATTTCACCAACATTAATATTATGGACCAATGGGAAAATACCTTATCGAAATGCAATTTGACAGAAGCTGTCAAAGGTATCTGAATATTAGTGATATCTATTGAAATACTGAATAAAATCGTGAAAATTCGACTGTTTATAAACAAGACCACTTTTTGATTCCAACATGATGCTTTTGTACAGAAAAAACAGGACAACTTTCATGTATTTTGATATATATTATAGGTTTACATTTAACAATCCGTTATCCCCCTCAGCGAATGGGAATGCGGCAAATAACAGGTCGATTTTCTAGCTGTTAAAATTGGCAGCAGATTTGGACGTTTGTTAATGCATGGCACTCTCGAATTTCCCAACTTCAATATACTCATAGTTATCATTACATACCTGTTGAATAGTGTGGGTTTGTCTGTATTTTGCAAGAAAATAGAATATAAAATACATTCCATCCAATTCCTCATCTTCCTTTACGTCCTAATAGTAATCATTTGTTAATTTATGGGTTAATGAATTTCTTCAAAGCAATAAAAACATTATGTCCTCTCCATCCTAAAACACAGATAATATGTGTAAGACGTGTCAATCCCTACATCTCCCTGATGCATAATGCAATTACTGTGGACTTAGACAAAAAATTATGAAAAATGTTTCACAAATAATGTATTTTAAATCCAAAAATCATAAAAACTAGTAATGTTTATTGTTTGTCTTTTTGACTGGCGGAGATATCTATCTGTCAGTCGCAGGCTTGCCAAGTCTAACGACGATCACGTCCTGTGGTGGAGGGTGCGGAATGAATCTTTTACATTTGCTGGTAGTTGAATTTTTTTCGTGAAAATTTACTAGGTATCATGATTATAAGCATCTTTGGTAGATTGTTCGATCCGGAATGGAAAAAACCTCCTATTTATGAAAATATTTTTGGTATCACCTAATCGTTGCAATCAGTGCACAAACACTGCGACATATGATTTACAGCATAACCCGCTTCCCTATCAATACAAATTTAACATACAGGTCGCCTAGCCGTGGGGATGCAGTGGTCGGGATGAATATGACGGCAGCAACTAATGATTTGGGCATGTCTGGTAACAACGTATGAAGTGAAACTCGCTAACTTCACAAATTTGAAGATTTTGTACAATTTCTTTGAAAATGATGAAAGATATGTCTGATTTGGCAGGGTAATGTCGCAGCCAAATGATAGTCACTCTTTCTGACACAGTCAGGATCGAAAGATGACGATACTCGTGAAATGTATTGATACTTCTAAATATAGGATCGTATCGAACATCCCTACTGCCAAGATATATAACCCGATGGAGCTATTTTGCGGCGTCATGGAAATAATTTTAAATTTTCATTTGCATTTTTTCAAGTGTTTTGGGAAAAATGTCACGAATAGTCTTATAAAGTATAGTAGAATATATTTCAACAGTTGGCGGAACTTACTCCACTGGGACCAGGAGGGTGAAATGGGATATTAATGCACAATCTGGCAACCCTGTCGCACCCTCACAAAATGGCCGCTGACAACCACACAAGTCACCGTGTTGTCATTGAATAGCATGGAATTGAACCTTCTGAGTATACGTTTTGTGACTGGTACCACGAGTTGACAGATCCCACACATGTGTCACTCCTTGAAATGCAATAATCAACTGTACTCAAATAATGTCTAATATAAATATAACCTAGAATGTGTACTCGTGAAAAAATAAGAATATGGCAAACTTGTAATTTTTTTGCAGGTTTTAGGTTTGCTGGTGGCTTTAAGGCATATATTTGGGAATTTCTCAATCGCTATGAGTATAGTGTGGATGTTTGTTCAGTTCCTGAACAACGAAAAATATTCAACTTTATGGATGGGAATATCAATCTAAGGTGCCATAATGGTTTTGATGAACGGCAAGTAAATGAATGAATGTTTGGAAACGAGCAATATCTTTTGGTAGAGCCTGTCATCAAGTAGGTGCTTAATGGCTATCTGCAAGAGGTTTGTAGGAAAAAACACCCAGTATCGCATATCAGTTGCAGAAAATAATATTAGCATGAATAAAAAATCAACAATAGTAATTAAGACATGAATTTCATTAAAAAATCCAACATTTCTTTAATTGTTGACTGAATTATATGTAATTTCTTAATATCCAATAAGCTGGTGATGTTTCAATGAAAATCTGTCATCTCATACTTTGACAGTATTTTGTTTTCAACATTTCATAGCTATTGGTTGCTAAAATTTGTTGATTGGGACTTGAAGCTCATTCGTTGTATTTGACGGTCTGTTACCCTATAGGTGGAGAATAACGGACTGTTGTTGGTGAAATTGGCTCTTAGTATATTTTAACCTCTTTGATCAACTTGATGATAAGACCCGTGAGAAGAGGCAAAGCTAGGACAACGCATCTGCCCACAAAGGTGCGTTAATGGGGAAACTGTAGGATTTGGGGTATGATTTACTCGACCAGCCTCCTTATTCTCATGATATGATACCCTCAGACTATTATCTGTTCCAGATCGGACATTTTTCTTCACCAAAAACCCTTTGGGTCTAATAAATTAAGTAGCTCTAGATTTTTTTTTTTTTTTTTTTTTAACGAGGGGGGAATGCATTTACGCACCATACCATAGCACGAGCTACGACGTGTGTGGGGCTCCAGGGTCTTGAGGAGATCACCTAATACCCACTAAACCCTAAACCTCCGCGTGGCCCGACTCATCAGCGTCTCGGTAGGCCATGTGTTGTGCGTGACCTGCGGTCTGCTACAACGTCTCCTCATGTGTTTCAGTCTCTGGGAACGCCGGGTTGGTTCCCTTTACCTCGCACATTCTATCGATGTCGTTAAGCGATCATCGATAGAGGGTCTGCTAGTTTCTCTTGAAACTCTTGTTTTCGAAAAATCAAGAGTTTCAAGTCCTCTTACCAATATGTTGTTCCTGGTCCTGGTCCTGAAGGGTCCTGGTCCTGGTGGGTCCTGGTCGTGGCGGGTCCTGGTCCTGGTTGGTCCTGGTCCCGGTGGGTCCTGGTCCCGGTGGTTTCTGGTCCTCTGCATCCACGCCGTGGGGTGAGGGGGGGGGAGCAGCCGCAGTTCTCCTAGTCTCCTAGTCAAGGTTCCAGTTAGCGGGTGCCAACTGGGACCTTGGTCTGGGGTACCTGGTTCTGCGGTTGCGAGGCCTCTCGTCCGGATCGTAGTCCATGAGGAATCGTAGCTGCTCGTTCGGGTGGTCCTGAGCTTTCTCGAAGGTCTTCTCCGCTTTTTTCCTCATGTACTCGTGGATGGTATCCCAATGCAGGTCTCTACGCAAGGTTGAGTTCCTTACGTAGGAAGGTGCATTGGTGGCGATCCGGAGTAGCTTCATCTCTAGAGCAGCAAGTCGCTTGCGGTAGCTGGGGGCAGCGTACCCCCAGACCGCGGAGGCGTAAGCGAGCTGAGGTCTGGCGATGGCCTTGATCAGCCGTAGCTTGGTCGCTAGCGGCATCTGGCTGTGTCTACCCAGTAATGGATAGAGTTGAGCCATGGCTGCTCTGGTTTTTGCGATGACAGCTTCTATGTGCGCTTTCCAGGTGAGGGACTTGTCAAAAACGATCCCCAGATATTTGACATTGTCGCTCCACTGGATATCTTCATCGAAGATGGATGCTTCGAGAGGTCTTGCAATCCTTCTTCGTTGAATGAAGATTGCCTGCGTCTTCTGGACGTTGATGCGGATTTTCCATTTCACGCACCAGTCCTGAATTTGGTCCAGTTCACCCTGTAGTCTCCTACGGATGATCTCGGGTCGTCTATGCTTGGCGGCTATAGCAGTGTCGTCTGCATATAGGGCCAGCATTGTGTCAGCTGTCTTCGGCACATCGTAAGTATAGATGTTGTAGAGCAGGGGGGCTAAGGCTAACCCTTGGGGCACGCCTGCTTCCAGCTGTCGTCTTGTTGAATGGCATGTACCAATCTTCACCGTGAACCATCTTTGTGTTAGATAGCTCTGGATCAGTTGGCACATGTTCGCATCGATTCCGGCGGCTTCCATTTTGGCGATGAGTCCATCGTGCCAAACTCGGTCGAAGGTTCGTTCCACGTCCAGCAGGACGAGACCGGTTGCCTCCTGGAGATTGAAGCCGCTGGTGATGTTTTCCGTCAGTCGTAGCGCTTGGAGTTCCGTGTTGTGGGAGGATCTGAAGCCGAATTGCTCTGGGGGGAGAAGTTGCAGTTCTTCTGCCTGCTTCTCTAGTCGAACGGCGATAGCCTTTTCGACTACTTTGCCCACCGAGGAAACCAGGCTGATGGGCCGGTAGTTCTGGGGCAACTTCCGGTCCTTGCCTGGCTTGGTGAGCATTATAACCTGGGCTTCCCGCCACCGCCGCGGGAAGTGGTTAAGTCTCAGAGTGGCATTGGCGATGTTGGTGAGCGCAGCAATGCCTTTGGTGGGAAGGTTCTTCAGCATCCTATTGTTGATGCCGTCCCTTCCCGGCGCCTTTCTGACTTTCAACCTGCGGATGATCAGACGGATTTCCTCTGGACTGGCGGGGTGATCCGTCTCCTGGCCAGGTGGTCGACTCCTCATGTTTTCGGCTGCGACTTCCACGGCCTCCTCGTGGTTGTCGTCCTCGTCTTCATGGTAATTGAGTCTGCATTCGGATTCTAGCGAATCGGCGAATGCTTCGGCTTTTTCTTCACTGGAGTAGGCCAAGCCGCGTTGGCCGTGAAGAGTGGGGATCGTGGTGCGCTGACGACGAAATTTTCGCTGCATAGACCAGGCCGTACCATCCTGGGTCTCTAGTTCTGCACAGGCTGCATTCCATCTGTTGTTTTGGAGTTCCGCGAGTGCGTTCTTCAGAGCTAACGATGCTCTGTTTCGCGCAACTCTCGACTCCTCTGTCAACAGCTGGAGATGTTCTCGCTTGAGTCTTCTGTTCTCCCTGATCAGGTGCCTAATATGGTGCGGTGCTGGACCATTTAGGTATCTAGGAACTGCCGTAGTCTCGGAGCGGGTGCTGTCCTCGTGCGCTCGCAGGACAGAGCTCTAGATGAATATTTTGACAGACTTTTATACTTCCACTTCCGAAAAGGAATCCTAATGTTGTACAAACGTCGGGAAAAAATAAAAAACATTATTACAATGAAAATCGCAGTATTTTAACGCCAGGCCGAGAACTTTTCACCACACCCTCAAATATCAGTTTAAGTAGCGTTCATCTCAAATAAATTGGTCTCATGCAAAGAAATAAAGGTCGTTGGAATTAAGCTCAGCTGTTGATAATACACAGGCTTGAACTCATCTCAGCACAACTTGAATCGCCGACGCAGATTCGGATAATTAAACAGTTAATAGTGACGAATAGTGATGAATATTGAAAAACACAGGTAAATTGTGGGAAATATCTTTGGAATTAACCACAAAAAGATGTAAACACACAGTTCGATTCACTTAGAACGTTGCCAGTTGTTTCGAAAATTACCTGAAAACATCGAAAAATAAAGATGAATACCAGACAACAGTCTAAATGGAAAGGACCTACCTCTGTGAAAATGAATAAAGCTAATAATAGCTATATTCACCTACAAGCTGATGATTTTGAAGACAAAACTGTTACGCAGGAAGAAATACTATCAGATGTTCGAAACAAACTAGCCAGTGAACAATCCAAGAATAATGAGCTGAGTGAAATCATTGTAAAATTAAAAGAAAAAACAGGGAAACTATCTAATGAGCTTTTGAATAGGGAAAAAAACATTAACCATTTAAAAGATTCGATAGAAAAGTTAAAATCTGAGCCAAAGATATTATCGGAGTGTGGAATGCAAACTGACACTGTGGACCAGACTCAAGCGCATACGCAAACACCTGATCCACCACCATATAGGAAACCAGCGTGCGGGAACAAACCAACTGACGGAAGCTCATCATATACTAGCAGTCTTATTCAATATTCAATCGGTTTTACCGATACCAGTGGTCTGGAGAGTGAAGTCGAGAGTCCTACTGACGAGGTACTGTTGGAGCCTTGTACCGAAGAACCGGCTGCTCTGCCATCACCGGCAGCAACAAATAAAAACAACCCAAACGACCGTAGAAAGATACTTGTTTTTGGTGACGAGTATGCCAGGAACTTCAGAAAAGTTCTAGAACTATACATTGGCAAATCCAGGTTTACCATTGAGTCCTATGTAAAGCCAAATATCGAGTTTGTAATGGCGACCAAGAATATATTCACGAAAAGAATACCTTATGGAAAAGACGACTTTGTAATTTCCATGATTAAGACGCAAAGTATCAATAGTTCCTATTGTTTAAACATGGGTTTATGCAACCTTCTACCACTTGGCCGCACTACCAACTTAATATTTCTGTACGAATACACGCTGATAATAACCTTATAAATAGAATAAGTTCCAAAGTTACCACTTATAGGAAATTTAACAGAAATACGTCAATATCGCTCACCTATGACAATCGCATGAAAGGTCCAAAACAGAGCATTGCAGGATATGTTCATGATATTCTACTGAGCAACCCATATAAAAATAATATCACATTGAAGACAATTAATACTGAATCAGTACTATGTCATAAGCGGTTTTTTCCTGAATGACAAAGATCATAGCTTCCTAAATGTTAGTGTTTCAAATAATGTATTGTATACAAATTTAGATAGTAATAAGATAACACGAGCTAATAATAAATGCATGGTAAATTTGTTACATCTTAATATACAGAGCCTACGACAAAAGGTTCACGATATGACGTTATTAGGTCTTGAACACAGTTAGGATGTAATTTGCTTAAATGAACACTGGTACTTAAACGACGAAATTAACTACGTTAACATAAACGGTTATAAATCCATTTCTAATTTTAGCAGAGTGAAAAAAATTCATGGTGGTGTTGTCATATATGTAAAAACGGACTCAAATGCTTCACCTTTCCGTACTTCATGTCTGATAGAGGCCGAAGAATTGACGTTTGAGGTTGCAGGCATATATTTTGATAAACTTCAGATTCTCACTATATACAGATCTCCTGCAGGTGACTTCAATAGATTTATAAATAAGCTATTAGACCAGCTTGACTATGAGAAGCATACAGTGGTAACTGGAGATTTTAATGTTCAATTTGGTAGCAATGATGAGCGGGCAAACCAAGTTATTGATGTGTTTAGCTGTTATGGAATGCAATATATGATCAGGGACAGTACAAGAGGATCGCATTGCTTGGATAACATTTTCACGAAGATCCAGGGCAGCTGTTTTCTCAAAACGAATATCTTTGATACTTACTTGTCGGATCCCCTGGGGATCGAGTTTTGTTGTTTCTAACCTGGTAAAAGAACAGCTTCAAAAGGGTAAGTTATCGGCCAATTACTGATACTGGTCTTTTTCTACTTTACAGCAGCTTGGAGAGTACTGGCTGGCAGTTTGTAAATGATGCAAATCTAAACGTGGAGTTGAAGTTTGAGCTGTTCATACGTGTTGTGACCGATGCGGTGGGTAAATGTCTACCAGAGAAAACACGCGTTTTCCAAAATAAACAGAAACAAGTCCAATGGTTTGACAATGAGTTACGTGGCATGCGCGATCACTTAACTTTCTTGATAGAATTGCACAAAATCGATTCATCAACTGTGACTAAATCCGAAATAAATTGCCTGAAATCCAAGTACAGAGCTGAAATAGTAAAACGTAAGCAAGGTGCACACGATGTGTATATAAACTCATCGAATAATAAACAGCAAGCGATATGGAGTATTATAAAAGACAATGCAGCTCGTGTCGATAAAAAAATTACCACAACACTAAACCAGTTTAATTCATTTTTCACCACAGTTGTTAGTAACCTTTTAGAAAGCTTACCGTCACATGACACTTCACCGCTAAGCTATATGGATAATCATAGCAGAAAAAATCAATTTTCTTTTCGTGATGTTACATACAATGAAGTTAGAGATGCGATTAGTTCTATCACCGACGTATATAAATTTAACAGTAAAATTGTGAAATCGATGTTAAACGTAATTATTTATCCGCTTACTAAGCTAATCAATATGTGTATGGAATCAAATATTTTCCCCGCAGCTCTAAAAATATCCAGGGTAATTCCTATATATAGAGACGGGTCTGTTGACGACGTTTCGAACGACCGTCCTATGTCATTGGTACCCTACTTCGCGAAAATCTTTCAAATTATACTCAAGGACCAACTGAGCAATTATTTTGAAATCAACAATTTAATAAATTCTCATTAATATGGATTTAGAACAGGCTTATCAACCATTACAGCAATAAACAGTTTTATTGACATTGCACACGATGGATTTGAAAATAAGCAGTATATAGAGGCAAATTTCTTCCATCTGAGCAAGGCCTTCGATTGCGTACAGCATGATGTACTTCTTTCAAAGCTACCGTATTACTCAATCGATCCTTCTGCTGTAGTCCTCCTAAAATCCTATTTAGAGCAAAGGCAACAGCTCTTCGAATATAATGGCTGCACATCGTCAGTCAGCACAGTTTTACATGACGTGCCACAAGGATCTGTCCTTGGCCCTTTGTTATTCTTACTGTATATAAAAGACCTACCAAATTGTCTTCTTAATAGTATGAACAGTAAGCTCATTCTTTATGCTGATGACACCACTCTGATCTCAGCCCACGATTCATTTACAAACATCAACAGCGAAGCGACGGCCAATATATCTAGCATTCAGAATTGGTTTATTATATAACAAACAGAATGGTGACCACGCAAAGGTTGTGAAGTCTCTTGGTGTCTATATCGACTCCTCCTTGCACTGGGATGAACATATCAGTCATGTAACCAATCTCTAACAAGCATAATTTATTTAATTCGCAATTTAAAACACTCAGTTTCACTAAGCGTCCTGTTGACCAGTTACCATGGGTACTTCCATAGCAAAATGACAGACGCCCTTCTGGCGTGGGGCCACTCTCCCCACATGTACAGAGTACTTGCCCTACAGAGAAGATGTATCCGATATATAGCAAATCTAAAATATAGAGATCCCTACAGATCTGAGTTTATCAAACTAAAGATCATGACTTTGCCTGGCACATATATATTGAGCTGCCTCTTCCATGTCAAGTCAAATCCTGATCTTTCTACAAGCCACCATGAAACTCATTCATATAATACCCGGCACCGAGACAACTTCTACCCAAAACAACATAGACTTGCTAAAACAAGGAATGGAGTTAACTACCATGGCATAAAATTTTATAACATTTTACCTAAGGTCACTAGCATACAATGAATTCAGTAATGCTGTGAAAGAATTGCTCTTGTCGGCTGCTTTTTTTACCATTGACGAGTTCCCCAACCACAACTTCTCCACGGATACTCAATAGTTATATTTCAAGCTACATTTCCTTTTTTTGCTACTTATTCGAACCATGTGTAAAATATTTATTTCAGTTCTATCTCTTATGCTATTTATTTATTGATTTTAACGTAGTTTGTAATAATTTTATCTTTCATACTTTTATTGTCATCCTCATAACCATATTTAAGTGTGTGCAATCTGTACTATTTGTTATTGTATGTATTGTTTGTCATTTATTTTCTTCTTGTAACTTCTATTATATTGACTTGTGTAAGCACGTACTGTGCAATAGCACCAATAAACCATTATTATTATTATTATTATTATTATTATTATTATTATTAAAGGGTATTGGTTGGCATATAGGGTTCTCTTTCATTAAAACAACTTTGTTAGATGATTTAAATCGATTCATGTCACATCAACCGTTGAATATTTGAGAAGCTATAAGAACTAGTAACACCCGCTCATGGCAGAAAACAACATAATGTCCTGGTGGCTACGACAAAGACTGGAGGTAGAGCGGTACCAAAAGCTTCGCCGGAAATACTATCAAAATATGGAATGTCAGGCGGAGAGAAGGTTAAGGAATACAATTCTACTCCTCTGTCTCCCTAAATACTGGACCATAAAAGCTATAAAATCGTTCCAGTCGACTGATCCTTGCATACTGTATGTGCAGTCCGTACACAATGTTTGTGCTCGATCTCCCAGTATGATCTGCACAAGAAAGGTAACAAGTGAGAGGAATGCTGGTTCCAGTAAGGAACCCGAAGGGCCTAGAAACAGACGCCACGGAGACCTCTACCATCCGAGCTAAGGCATTAGACTTCTTTTACTCCCCATTTACGTCATACCTCAGTATTAACAGACAGTTCATTTCCTAAGACGACCTTGACTACACAAACATGATATTTGTAGACTTAAGCTCATTAGAAGAAATGGTCATTTTACAGAATGCACAAACTACAGCTACTCCCTACATGACAGAGCGAAAGCGCAACTCTCAACCAGACATCTCGATATACCCCCGCTTTGCGAAGAATCGCAGCTCACGGGATACGTATATCTTCTACCAACAAATTGAACTTTACAAATAAAATTTATAGTCAAGGATAGGGAGTAGGTAGACTTAAGAGATATTACGTCTTCGCGATTGCGACTTTCCTTCGGCGTCGAGTATAAAGTGCTGCAGAACAGAGACTTAGAGTGAAGCGAGGAGGTTATAAAAATTACGGGGAGCACTTCAGTATACGAGCTCCGATCGCAAAGTCTAGTAGCAAGGTAACTGGGGTTTTTAGAGAGTATTGGGTGCCAACGTAAAAGATATAGTCTTGGTGTATCCAACATAGAGCGATTGTGTCACGTTGCCGTAAGGCTTGTCACTTTTCTTCACGTGCAATAATTGATCATTAGACTAAGGAAGCTATACTTTATTAAAGAAGTCAAACGATACGTTACTTTGGGAAATAAATATATTGCTAAATTACGAATTACATAAATTTCGCACCAGCCTTCACACATAAAGTCAACAAGAGTTCATCGAGGGTGCAGATAAGTCTGTGGGAAAGTGATCATCGACTCTAGATATAGGCTCAGGACCTGGCTCCAACATTCCAACGAGCTCTTCTAAGTAGTAAAATGGTTGATTCAGCAACACAATTAATATTAGAGCTTAGTATCAGGAATGAACTACTTCTGGTGAGCGCTGAAAGAACATCTACGCAGAATAGAGTTGTATAATGGAGAACTGCAGACGATTAGGTAGATGATCAGAATCAGTCTTTCATGTTCTCTGTGAGTGCGAATCACTTTCTCATAAGAGGCAGCAACTTTTTGGTAAACGTAGGCTATATTATATGAAGGTTTCTGTAGTACTGGAAGGAAATCTGTTTCAAAGGGTACATAATTCAGAATTGCTGTGATTATACTGCATTGCCATCAAGGACTTCGGTCAAATAGCCTCCGCAGGAAATAATCCTGCATTCTAGAACTGTTATACACGTGTTGAGGTATGTACATGTGAGGCCACTTATGAATGTA